ATAATCAAATATTTTTCATTAAAGGTACTTTTTTAATAAAGTCATACCTCAAATTTTCATCATCATATAGGTGCATTTGGGCCTTTCATGGCTTTGCTTTAGTACCAGACAAAACGGAATGATCAGGAATACCAATATGAAACATTCTTAAATTTAACTTTGAAATCTTCCGAAAACCAACTGTGGGAGAAGAGCATGTTTTTTTTTTTTTTTTTTTTTTTTTTTTTTGTAAATAAGTTTTCAGTAATTTTAATGATTTTCTTGCATCTATTGACTTTAATTTTAGGATGAGATAGCAATTAATTGGCACACACCTTCCATTTGTAAATATTCCAACCATTTATAGTGTTATAATTCCTTTGAAGTAAGCTTTAGTTTACAAAACTCACTAAATTTAACTCATGATACCATAATCAAATTAATCATACAGCAAAAGCAAAATGAATGCATGAGCTAAGAAACAATGTTTAGGTTTTGATACTTTCTTCTTTTCTTCTAGCTATAAACAAAGGTTGCATAAACCACTTTGGCTTTAAGTCACATATGAGTTTTATTAAGTGGTCATTGAAATAAAATATCTTTGTGAAGAACATCTCTTTCTTGAAGAAATAAGATAGCTACTTCTTCATCTCTTGGTGAACCCAAGTCATAGAATCCATTGCAGTAAAAATGCTGTTAATAATAAACTGATTGAATGAAAAGTGTAGCCCATAAACAATGGTTATAAAGACAATTTATTCCAAGGAAAGAAGTCAAACCAAAATTTCAACATCTGGTACTGAGGAAATGCACCAAAATAAAAAAAAAAAAATAAAAAGTAGTGTCATGTGGCTTTCACAGAAAATTAACGCAAATATTTCGGCCTGAAAAAATTGTAAAACTGGATAATAATCTATTCATGTGGTGAGAAAACAAAGATGCCAGGGTTCTATAACAATGGTTATTTATAGGGTTATCCAAAGAAATAGAGGAATTCTTTCTTGTTTATGTTCTGAATAGAGTGCCGATCACTTTCATGGCTAAAATCATGGATATTCGCATAGTTTGCGCTGTAAACACTCTCTGTAACACTCTGCTAGCATATAAAACAGAGGAACTGGCTAAAGCAGGTTAGAGTATTTGTATTGTGTATGGTGAAAGATTGTGGTGCTCCATTAAATGGTGGAATAAAAGCAATGAGGTATGATTTGCAATCAGTTACGAGTGAAATCCACATTGAGGAAGTCCTTGGGAGAAGAAAATGTTTCTGATATCATATTAAAAGCAATCATGGAAGTATGGAATCCACAGACTGCGTGTAAGAAGTTAACATGAAACTTGAAGATAATCTTGTAAGATTTAAGTAACATGGCCTGCGATAATAAGGAAGTGTCAAAATTCACATTTCAGAAAAAATGTGATTAAGAAAATTTTGGGGGAATTAACTAGAAATGTTGACGGTAAAAATTGTATCTAGTTATGACAAATTATATTTCAATTTAAGGCTACTGCAACTATAGTTTGAATGCATTTAAAAAATGTTCTGAACTGTAAAGTAAGAAATTAATGCAGATGCAGATCCAGCAGTGACTGAATGGATGAGACCGTCAAGTACTGGTAGGTTAACTCTGGTTTGAATCATGGCAAACAGTTGGTTGTACGAATTTTTTCTTGATTTTTCCCGTGTGTTTTATCAGTACAAACCAGTTACCTTAGAAAGTCTGATAAATAAATATAGATCCAATAAATACTACTTCAGGAATTTAAATTAAAAACTAATGAATGTTACCATATATTTCTTATTTAAAGTGTTTCAAAACATGTTCTTGATAATTTATGCCTAAAAATCTGATTGCTTTATGAATATTGTTATGTGGTTTTTGGTAGTGTTGAAAATTTCTGTGTAGTGTAAAACATAGTTGCCTACATTCTTGATATAAATTCTAATTGGTGCATAATGCGTTTATGCATGCGCATATGCATTTACGCATGCGCATAATACGTTTACCCATGCACGTTTAATGTACACTCACGTTTGTGAAAATTGCAACACCATGAAGGACTTACGCGAGTGAGGTGAAATTTTCAGGAAATGCAAAGTAGCACATGATATGCAAATGATTAGAATTGCAAATCCGTAGCGCATGCTGAGCAGCGCCCTCTGAACGGCTGATGGATCCGAATAAATAGACGGCTGTAGCGAGGCGTGTATGGTTATCGGTTGTTATCTGCTAGTGGTAAACGTTAACTCAATCTGTACTTATGCCTCGTCGACGAAAGAGAGCGAGATTTGAACAACTTACAGAGTTTGAACGAGGGAGAATCATCGGCCTTCGTGAAGCTGAATTGTCGTATCGTGCAGTAGCCTCTTGTATGCAGCGTAACAGCAGCACAGTGATGCGCGTTTGGAAGCTGTGGACGGACGAGTGTCGGACAACTCGGAAATCCGGGAGTGGACCCCGAAATGTGACGTCAGCTCGCGATGATAGACACCTGGTCCGCATGGCGCGGACGGACCGTACAGCTTCCTCTAGACAATTGGCAGCACTGTGGTCAATAGCTACAGGTGTTTCATTGTGTGCTTCATCAATTCGTAGACGTCTGCTGCAGTGTGGACTGCGCGCACGGACTCCTTTATACAGGATCCCCCTAACGCACGACCATCGCCGCCTGCGGCTACAATGGGCCAATCAGCATAGAGACTGGCGTGCTGATTGGCAGCATGTCGTGTTTTCTGACGAATCCCGCTTTTAATTTGTGGTACCATGATACATGATGGCCGCATTCGTGTCATAAACGCTATGCCGGTGAATGCCACCTTCCGGAGTGCATTATCAAACGCCACAGTGGACGAACACCCGGAGTTATGGTCTGGGGCGCCATAGCATATCATAGACGATCTCAATTGCTACGAATTGTGAGCAATCTGAACAGCAACCGGTATATCCGTGAAGTTCTACAGCCCGAAGCTGTTCCCTTCCTTCAAAGCTTGCCAGGCGCTGTATTTCAACAGGACAATGCCCGCCCTCATACTGCTCGGATTGTTAAATCCTTCTTTGCAGCGCAGCAGGTACAGCTTCTTCCTTGGCCTGCGTGTTCCCCGGATATGTCGTCAATTGAACATGTGTGGGATGTCATTGGTCGGCGTCTTGCTCGTGATCCTCGTCCTGTTGCGTCTGCAGACGAACTTTGGGTACGCATACAAACGATATGGAATGCTCTTCCTCAGTCAGACATTCAAACTTTGTTTGACTCCATGCCACGTCGTGTAGCAGCACTTATTGCGGCGCGTGGTGGCCACACAAAATACTGATTCTGATATCTTGTTCTTGTTTGTTTGCTTTGAACATTTAATCATTTATTTGTACCACTACCACTCAACTGTGTATTAAATTGCATTCAATTATGACGATTCCTTCTTCGTGTTGCAATTTTCACAAACGTGAGTGTATAACGAACAGTATAAGCTAAGCTAAAATTATCTAATTATCTATTTCAGTTAATGTTCCAGATTGCATTGTTCTTTAATCTTTGAATTGGACCTGGCTCAGACTGTTAGAGCAATTTTATAAAAGTAAGCTTGAACTTTCGATTCTGGAGCTGCCAAAGGATCTACAAAGCAAAAGCATGTTTCGATGTCCATCAAACAAAAAGTGGAATTGCTGCAAAAAAAAAAAAAATGGATAAAGGCATATCCTTTGTTTCTCTAACCATTCCGAAATCTGTTTATCAATTTCACGCTGCTCCGCCAAGAGGGGGGATTATAAAATCAAAGATCAAGCAGAAATAATAAAATTAAAAATATGAAACTGTAATTTATGAAATAAAGAGCAATTATGATCTAAAGGGTATCAAAATTTAAAAAAAAAAAAAAAAAAAAAAAGATTTACATTTATTTTATTACTTTATTAAACATTTCTTTCAATGTAAGTTGTTTAAGTTGCTTCGTTTTATGTGCTAATACTTTCTTTTAATTCTATAAACAGACATAATTTCTTGTTCAGTTACAAAGTTCCGCTGTTCAAGTCCTGTAATTGCTGTACCGAGAATACCGACTAACTTGTCAATCGAAATTTTTTCATTTTCACTAACCTCTCTGTCACTTTCTTCATGCCTTTATCCATTTTTTGCAGCAATTCCACTTTTTGTTTGATGGACATCGAAACATGCTTTCGCTTTGTAGATCCTTTGGCAGCTCCAGAATCAGAAACTCTTTTTGACATAATCAAAAGTTTAAGCTTACTTTTTATAACATTGCTCTAACAGTCTGCAAAAAATAATAAGCCGGATCCAATTAGAAGATTAAGGAACAACACAATCTGCAACATTAACTGAAATAGATAATTAGATAATTTTAGCCTAGCTTATACTGTCCATTATACATTAAACGTGCATGCGTAAACATATGTGCATGCGTAAATGCATATGCACATGCGTAAAGGTATTATGCGCGTGCGCAGAAAGTTTATAGCTTTGAGGTCTGGATTATAGATCATTTCAGTTTATGGATGTCCAGATTAAAGATACGGATTACTGTACTTTTGTTTAATTGTCTTTACATAAAATACATATAATCTATTGATCTACTTTAAATGTTATTTTAAGCTACATTTTTCTTATGGTGGAATGGAGCACCCTGAAAAAACTGATGGTTCTAAGGATCCTATGAGTTGACAAAGTTTGAACACTACTGCTAAAAATTGTCATGGTTAGGACTGGCAGCTGTCTGATAATAGTTTACAACATACACTGGTGATTCTTTGATAATCACGGTAACAATTTAAAAACAGAGGCTGTAATAATATGGAAATATGCAATCCTTTTAAAACAGCACCTCTTTTTTACATAATTAAATCAATCAATCATTTAGTTTGTAAAAGAATTTTTATATAACTATTTAATAAATTATAATCTTAGTTAATTTTTAGATTATAATGCACTAATCATGAAAATGTAATTTGAAAATCATATTTTACTGCCTATTGTGATATTAATTTCAAGAAATACAAATAATTTCTCACCTGATAAAATACAAAGGCATATGGGCCTCGGATGCATTGGATGACATCCAATACATCAGTGATGCTCACACACTTAAAAAGCATTTCGCCTAAAACTCTTGTATCAGACATATTTTCTGAAGCAGCCTAAAATAAAAATAAATAAGCCATCATAAAAATTTTGCTAAAAGAGACTGGCTTTATATAAATATGTTGATTTAACCCTTTGATGGGCGGTGGGACGCCAAGCATCCAACCTTTTTTATCAGTTTTTATCTCCCATATGAAAGCTGCAAAATTCCATTTAAAATACATACAATTATACCTTTGAGTTCTCTAAATGTATAACAGATGGCAGCACTAGTACTCATTCATGGAAATAATGTAAAATAAATATTCTTTGCAGATCTAATTTTGAAGCAGTTTTTTTTCCCCTTAATTTCTAATGCAATTTAAATTGTCTGAAAAACAACTTTTGTTGTTAGAATGAATAGTTTTATGTGAAAGTTTCCTTTTATAATAAAAATTATTATTTTACTTCATATATATTAATTAAGAAATTAAAAGGTGGGACCAAATATGTCCCACTGTGCATGTAGGAATTGCTGCTACTAAATGTCAGCACCATTCAAGTATCATATATATATGTTAATACATTGTTTTATATGTTTATAATGCAAATTTATATTTTTTAATAAATTGCAATAATGTTAAAACTTGAAAAATATTTAATATTTTTTTCAGAAAGAAATGAAAAGATTACTCTGTAAACATGAAATATCATTGAATACTGAATGGATATGTGAGTGTAATTCACCATAGAAAAATATCCTAAGCACAGGAAAGAGAGGTGAAATGTAAATAAGCATGATGGCCTTCTAAATATCTTCCTTTTAAAATCTGTAGCAAATAAAGTACTAGAGCAAAAATCTTCTCTGTTTCAAATCTATTCAGAAATTATTTAAAAATATCTAAAAAGTCGAACAGAGGGCAATTTTTTAAAATTATATAATTTTTTTCAAAAAAATATTTTTTATTTTGCAAATATGATCAATATTTTCTAGATAATTATTCAAAAACGTTTTTTTTATATCTTTCACTTTCATTCGGTTGCTAAAACTACCGTCTTTTCTGAAAATAAGACATCCTCCAAAAATAGCCCTATCGTGATTTTCGGAATTTTTTGTAAAATAAGACCATCCTCCGAAAATAAGCCCTATCGTGATTTTTGAAACTTTTTGTAAAAATAAGACATTCCCCGAAAATAATCCCCGTATTTAAAAGAATGTGACAAAAAGAATTCGTTGAAAAAAAATGCTGTTGATTCTTAAGTAATAATATGTTTAGCTTTCCTAATACTACTCTATTCAGAGAAATGTTTGAAAAAAATATTCCGAGAAATTAATTGTTTACATCTACAGTTCGTTTCAAATTAATTCTTGGAATTTATCTTAACCAGATGAATTTATCTTAACCAGAATTATCTTTATAGGAATTTATCTTAACCAGATTTATCTTAACCAGAATTTATCTTAACCGTTTGCCTCGAAAGAGATACGTTCACAGGAAAGGCAACGTCATCCGTTAGACGTCGGCAGACTAACTCGATCGTGGGTGAAATTTGGGCTGAAGTAACCCCCGAGACAGGCTACTTACAAGATGCAGCATTTACGATAGCTGTATCGCAAGACATGAGAGATTCAGACCAATGATTCAACAGGAATGGATTTGGAAGAAAATCAGAATTCAGAATTTTATTTATGACGATATTCCAGAAGAAGATGACATGACTGTAATTGAATAAATTTAAATTTCTGTATTCTGTGTAAAATAAATATTAAATAAAAATACTTTTATTTTTGCCCTTCCCCGAAAATAAGCCCTAGCTTGTATTTTGGACCAAAAAAGAAAGTAAGACAGTGTCTTATTTTTGGAAAAAGACGGTATCACTTTAGATAAGCATGTTAGGAGAATTTATGCTGAGGCAAAGATGCCATTTTACTGCTCTAGATGTGCGGTGGGACAAGCAGTAAAGCAGTATCCCAACACGTCATGAATTACCTTAAAGGTTTATTTTTTTTTTTTTTTTTTTTTTTTTTTTTTTTTTTTTTTTTGCATAACTGTAATTAATTTGTAATAACATTGTATTAGTGTAAATTTATTTTTTCCAAAAAAAGTTTTTTATGCACCGAACCTCAAAGGGTTAATAGACAAAACATAAAGGCATGTTTCACCGAAATTAATATTTAAGGTTTTATTTTCAAGGTATATGCTACTTATGACAGCAGAATACTTTACTAGTAAACACTGAAACATAATAAAGCATTACTTTAATTCAATAAATAAATTATTTGCGAAGCAATTACTTTTTCCTTCTATTTTAATGGCATATAACTTAATTTAATTTTTAATCAATTCAAATAATATTTCAAAAAATAATTATTTTTAAATTTCACTTTGAAAACACATTTTTAGCAACAAGTAAATGACTTGGTACTCTTCTGTTATCAGGACTGGATTAAAAAATGTATGTGTATACGGAAGTGTATATGTATGTGCACATAAGTGTGCGTGCATTCACATACCTACATAGTACATACATATATACATGAACACATATCAAAATCGTAAAAACAACCTTGTATTTAGCGTAAGTATAATGAAACACTCAATCGATTTCGAGGGCAGCTAAAGGTCCCTCCTCATCCGGAGAAAGAAATACCTAGAAAGAAAAAAATAAAAGAAGAAGGAGTCTCAGAAACATGTGGTCCATATAAGCACTGCACGTGGTTATAACTGGATTTTTAATCAGAGTTGCAATGGCCGCCTACTTTTACTTAGCCCGGCATCTGATCAAGCATAAGGACAAAAAAGAAAAGAAATTTATTTGAGTTCAGATTTTGAGCGTGAGGTGGCATTGCCCCTCGCTCCCAATTTTTAACTTCGCTATTTTTTTGTCCTTTATGCTTGATCAGATAGCCTGGCTCAGTAAAAGTAGGCGGCCAGTGCAACTCTGATTAAAAATCCAGTTATAACCACGTGCAGTGCTGATATGGACCACGTGTTTCTGAGACTCCTTCTCCTTTTATTTTCTTCTTTCTAGGTATTTCTTTCTCCTGATGAGGAGGGACCTTTAGCTGCCCTCGAAATCGATTGAGTGTTTCATTATACTTACGCTAAATACAAGGTTGTTTTTACGATTTCGATTGTCACATTAGCGTGTTTCTCTTCTTGTCTATGAACACATATATCAATCATTCTATATTAGAACAGTCAACCATGTAAATCTAAATTCAAATTCTCAGAAAGTGTTTGAGAAAACAGAAAATACTTCAAGAATATCTTGAGTATTATTCACAAAAAAATATATTTATCATACTAAGAATAAATAAATTAATTTCAGTTTTCCTTTTTTTACATTAAATAGAGTATAAAAACAATCGAAAGCAACTTAAAAGTAACTTCTGAAAAAAAGTCCTAACAGCAAAGCCGCAATTTTAACTTCAGTACACATTTGTAATAAAGTACAAATATTTTATTTTTTATGGTAACTATATTTTACAGTTATCATAAAACAGTCTGAAACATATTTGAATTCAAAAATAATTTTATGCTTTAGATAACTTCTGGGTTTGTCAAAGACCCAACTGGATTATATGGATTACAGCAAAGCTCACAAGAACTATCTCCTTTTTAGTTTGCCAAGCAACTAATCTAGCCATGAAAGATGACATAATTAAATCAATTCTAAGAATTATTCAGAATCTCATGATTTGATATAAAGGTTTGAATTAAAGCATGAAATGGTAATTAATTTCTCAATTTACTTGTTTCATGGACATTTTACTTACAAAGTCATTATCAAATATTTGTCCATTCCACATAAGAATACCTCCTTTTTCATTTTTAAAAGGCTGTTTTTCAATGGAAGATCCTCTTAAATGCAGAACTGAAGAGCAAAAGCAAGAGGTAATTTTTTTATAAGTAGCAGTAGTTTTCTGGAAATGATCTGGTCCTCTACGTCTTAATTTATTCACCAGTTCCTAAAATTAAAACACAGTAATATGAAACATGAAATTTATCACCAAATACAAGTTAAATCAAAAAATCTGAAATGGTTTAGAATTTAATGGTCCCCCCGTTTCATCCAACATCAAATATAGAAGATGAAAATTCGTAGATTAAAGAGAATATGAAAATTTGCATTCAATGAAACCATAAACGAACAAATTTTATGGATCAAAGTTTGAACAGCGATGCTGAATTTTTGCTACTGCTTCTTTGATATTTCTAAAGCAAAAGCAGATTGCTATGTACATGGGAAGACCAACAGCAGAAAAAAACCTTCCATATGGATTCCTACTCTAGAAAGTTGTTTGTGATGAATGTTTCTTGTTTTTTCAATTTTATTGATTCACTGCTTTTTTAACTGCTGTTTTAATTTCTTTGTTGAATTCTCAGTGCCCTGCCAATTTCAAAAGGGCTGTTACGCTTCGTGTATTAAAAAAAAAAAAAAAAAAAAGGTGAAGAATTAGCTATTAGCTGCCGACTAATTTTTTTCTGATAACCAGAAAGCAAAAAATTTGTCTAAAGCATATATCATGCTAATTTCTAACTCAGAAATCGGTTCTTAATATTTCATTAAAAGTACAGTACGAAGTACAGAATCCACATATCCAATATCCAGAATGATCTAAAATCTAAACCCTCCAGATCATCAGAAACTTTTTTTTTTTTTTTTTAAGAAATTTTTTATGCTTTATGCTTGCACATTTAATACTTTTTCATAGTAAAATATGTAGAGAGTCCCAGTTCTTAATTTCATTTTGGAACTGACAGCAACCTGCAAATCATTATTTATAATTTTTTGCTTTCATCACCGAATAATTATCAAAACCTTGTTTGCAGCTTGAGAAATGACCCACACAACAATGTCTAACAACCATTTTTTTTTAAATATTAGTAATTAGAATTAGAATACCAAAGAGCATGATAATCTTTTATGTTGATATTATGCTTAGCAATGATTAGATTTCAGCTAACTCTGCAGCGAATTATTGTGTTGAGGAGAATTTTAACAGAAATTTCTTTCCACATGCAAAAAATAGATTTTAAAAATGATATTCATAGGCCAAAAGATTAGTTTTTGTAATTGCTCTTATCTATTTTGCCCTCACATTTTGAAAAATGAGTAAAGTTTTGAATCTGCCTTCTATGAAAGAATATGCAGTGAAGTATTACAAATACAAGGCCAGTACTAGGCCTTCTGACACAAAATCCAATCTTTGTTGTTTTTGCCAACTGGTGCCTTCCTCAAATTAAAAAATTTGAAACCCGGTGTTGCTGCAGAAGTTCTTACGTGATATTTGGCTTCATATTAAGACAGATGAGTAACAAAAATTATGATAAATAGTTTATATGCTACAACTTTTCGGTATCTTGATTATTTAACTAAACACAGAACAATCTGTTACTTTAAATTTTGTAGCGTTGACTGATGGAAATTGGACAGCACGTCCACCCACTTTCATGGTCTGATGGGAATTTACAAATGAATAAGATGTTTTAAGTTTCATATAGTTTAAAGCCTAACTATGCTGGCTTTTATATACAAAATGCCCCCCTTTTTTGTGTGTGTGAGTGAAATTATACATAATTTTAAATATGTGTTCTTGATATTCAAGTTGATAACAAATAAGATGACTGTTTTTTACAATTTTAGACTGAAAATTTCGTTTCCCGTATAGTTGGCTTTTCTACCATCAACTGAAATTTTTTTTACAAGCTTAGTTATCCAGAAATTTCACTGGCATTTGACATGCCAAGATTTTGAGATAATTGACTTTTTATTATATTAGTATTGGCCTCGGATGATAACAAGGCCTGTTCAGATGCCCATGATTAAAAGAGTTGTTTACCTTTAGATTGTTACTTTTTTATGCAAAGCACTTGGAAGATATAGTATCTGTCCTTTATCTTACACTCCAGTTAATAATAACTGCTGCTTTCAGTGTTCAAATTCTCGGGAACCAAAACAAATAAATATTAATCAACAGTAACCATTTATAAACCTCTTACACTCCAGTTAATAATAACTGCTGCTTTCAGTCATCAAATTCTCAACCAAAATAAATAAATATTAATCAACAGTAACCATTTATAAAACTACTATTTGCTAAACATTTCTGGCATTTACAAACCTCAGATTGGGAAAATATTTATTCTTCAGTGCCAGAATATCTTGTTGATATATTAAAGCTACTTGTAGTTCATTCAGTTGACTTTCTTAGGACCACATTATTTATGCAGGTAAGTAGCACTTCATTAAAATAAGTTATTAAATGAGGTTGAAATTTTAGTTCTGTCTATCCAGTCCCTGTATCATTACATACTGTTTGCAAAGTTCTTTGGCCAGACTGGAGCTGAGACAAGCAGAATTTTCTTATTTTAAAGTTAATAAAAGCAATCCTCCAGACCAGTGTTTCTCAAGCTTTTCTAATCATTTTTTAAGTTCTAAAATTTTTAAGCAACACTAGAGTAAAGTTGGAATTTTAGTTATGATACATGATAACATATACAGTCAAAAGCCTTTAATCCGGAATGATCTATAATCCAGACCTCAAAGCTACAAACTTTCTGCACATGCGTAAACGCACTGTGCATATGACCTCTGTGCATGCGCAGTTAATGTATAACGGACGGTATAAACTAAGCTAATATTATCTAATTATCTATTTCAGTTAATGTTGCAGATTGCTTTGTTCCTTAATCTTCTAATTGGATCCGGCTTATTATTTTTTGCAGATTGTTAGAGCAATTTTATAAAAGTAAGCTTGAACTTTTGATTATGTCAAAAAAATTTCCGATTCTGGAGCTGGCAAAGGATCTACAAAGCGAAACCATGTTTCGATGTCCATCACACAAAAAGTGGAATTGCTGCAAAAAAATGGATAAAGGCATACCCATTGTTTCTCTAACCATTTCGGGGGGGGGGGCAAACGTCGCGGTGCGCAATGAACTGGAAGTTGATCTGTCAGCGTTATCCTTATCTTGAGGGCAGATGTTTTTATTTTATTCGGCTTATAATTCCTTACTAAATGTAGTATTTCATCTCGATGTGCTCTGATATGATTTAAATCAAATTCCTCGTCATTATAAATATCACAAATACATATCAAATAGTTTTCTGGTTGCAATTTTCTAATTTTGACTATGCGTAATGTATGCTTTACACATGCGCGCGTTGAAAGAAATGTTTAATAAAGTAATAAAATAAATATTAAGCTTTTTTTTGTAAATTTTGATACCCTTTAGATCATAATTGCCCTTTATTTCATATATTACGGTTTCATATTTTAAATTTTATAATTTCTGCATGCCATCTTACCAGATTTAAACTGATGATCTATAATCCGGAAAAAACGATAATCCGGAATCGCCGAAGTCCCCGACGAGTCCGGATTAAAGACTTTTGACTGTATATATTATATTTAAAAAAATAATCATTTATTGAAATTTTCATATCACAGCTAAAAAAAAAGATTTTTTTTTTTTTTTTTTTTTTTTTTTTGGTAAAAATTGATACATAAATTTAATTTCATGAAACAAATAAAATTTAAAAAAATAAAGTATTTAGTTTCCAATGACTTCGATGTGTTTGAGGCTTCAAATTACAAATTCTTTTAATGTCACATGCAATGTTAGAAACCTGAACTCTTGTAGCAAATGCAATATTAAGTTGTTTTCTTTATTTGGATTTTGTTGCAGCATAAGACAAGACACCTGCCTTCCACAAATATGTTGTCATAAAAAGAAGTAAAATATAGGAAGTTCATCTTAATAAGTTCTGATATTCTTCTGATAAACTTATCCAAAATTCATTTAATGATAGTTCTTTAAATTCTTGTTTCATATCGAAATTAGTCGTCAAATCAATTAACCTCAATTTCATAACTGTTATCAGAACATTCTGTGATTGGTGGAAAAACACCAGTGTTCATTGGAATATGGTTTCAGGAAATGCTGTGCTAGATGCATTTTGAGTGTTCCTTCTTAAACATCAATTGACAAGGGGGTAGAAATGCAACTTCTGCATTCCATCTTTGAAGATGTCCACATTCAGAAAATTCATTGATATGCACCTATAATATAACCAACGAGTTCACTGAAAACTTCAGGAAATATTTCTTAGTATTATGGCATATTACACTTTTTTAATTTGTTCAATGTTAATTGTAAGATGTGAAAAATGCTAAGTGAAAAAACTTAAACCTTTAAAAAAAAAAATTAAAGGATTCTAATGCTCTTGATAAGTGAAGCTAAAAAGGAGCTCATTTAAACTGTAAATTTCCCAAACAGGCATTCTGAAATTTACTTAATATAAGAGTTATAACTGAGTATAACTATAAAGTAGTCAGAAAAAGTGCAAATGATTCAAGAAAGCACAAAAAGGATGCAAAATTAAGAACTCTCCTTGAATGGTTTCAGGTGATGACACTAAAAGCTGTCTCTCCTTCTTGAGCTCTTTTAACCATAAAAGGTATGGAATTTGCTAAAAGTTTTGTCCTAGACAAAACTTTTTACCAACTGATGAATGACTCACGAAATGGAAAGAGATAAATAACTTATTTATGTTAAAGTTCTGCATCAAGGAATATGAATCTTATGTCTGAAAAGATGAAATCATAAAATGTCTTCAGTAGCTAATAAAGTAAACAAAGTTGTTAGTTGGAAATTTAATCAAAATTTTGACTTTTGATCTGCAAAAATTATACAAAAAGCTGCTTCAATTGGTGAACTGGATTTCCTTAAAAATTTTCACATTCACAAAGGTTTATCTTGTTTAACTAATTCCAATGACTTTAAGTCATTCTTAATCCTTTTAAAATTCTAATAACTTAATTTTTCAGCTTTTATTACTGTCTGCAGACAGATGGTGCTACCTTCTCATTTGCTTTACTCCTTTTAAGTAAAAGTAAATCCATTGCTCAGGTAGATGGTGCTACCTTCTCATTAGCTTTACTCCTTTTAAGTAAAAGTAAAT